TAGTCTTTTTGAACAAAACTTTTATTCACGTTGAAGAATGAAGAAATCAATCAGATTTCAAACTTCAAATAATTTAATTAATGTTCGACAGTGAAAAAATTTTCAATTGAACTCTCAATTGTGGAAAATAATAACAATATTATTATATATGTACATTTACAATTAGACATCTTTTGTAAAAGCGCAATAAAGATGATTATAATATCAATAATAGATAGTCCTATGAATTTTTTATTATAATCATTCGCTAAGGATTCCTGTTCTTTTTTATTCTTTGTTTTTAATGAATCATTTTGTTTGTTTGTTTGTTTTCTTCTCAAAACGTATCAATTACATTTAATTATTGTAAGCTTTGAGCTTGGGCCGGCTAGAAACCCTCATAACTTTGTAACTGTACATTAAAAAACGAATTTACAAATTTCACATGTTTATTATTAATTTTCTTTTTCTCTAAAAGAAAAGAAGAAAAAAAAACGTGCGTATACGGTCATATCGCAAATGTTGAGACTCTCGTTTCACTTTTTTTTCTTTAAATTTTCCATCGAAACGAGGGAATTAAAAATTAGTCTTTCGATCTAATAATTAAAAAATATATACATACAACTCTTCAGTTCTTATTTGATAAAATACAAAAATCTGCACTCATTACTTCAATTATTTTATTCAATAAACTTTATTTTTCAATAAATTACTTAACAAAAAATAATATTTTCTAAAGAATAATTAAAAGATTATAGAAAATTTAATTTTCATTATATTTTCAAAATTTTAATAAAATAAAATAAATTTAGATATTTCAAAATCGTGATTAAATTATTTATTTTCAAATATCAACTTCAATCTTTATTTTTTATAAAAATAAAATTCTTCGTAAGAATTCAATTCTTCTTTCTATATTAAAATTCTACTCAGAAATTTAATTATTTTTTATAAATACAATTTTTCGCAGAAATTCTATTATAATTTCGTTGTTCAGTACATTGTACGAAAGGGCAATAATGTAAGATTGTCTATTATACTAAATAAATAAATAAATAAAAAACATTTCTCGGAAAGATTTAATTATTTTTAAAAAATTGAATAAAATTTTTCGCAAAAATTGAATTATTTTTTATACATAATAAAATTCTTCATAGGAATTCAATTATTTTTTCTATAATAAAATTCTTCTTCGCAAAAATTTAATAATTTTTTATAAATAAAAATCTTCGCAGCAATTCAATTATTTTGAACACAATTTTAATCAAATTTCTCAAAAAGATTAGATTATTTTCGAAAATTTTAATACAGTTTTTCTAAAAATTCAATTATTTTTAAAAAATTGAATAGAATTCTTCGCAAGAATTGGATTATTTTTTATAAATAATAAAATTCTTCATAGGAATTAAATTATTTTTTTCTATAATAAAATTCTTCTCAGAAATTCAATTATTTTTTATAAATAAAATTCTTCGTAGAAATTAAATTATTTTGAACACAATTTTAATAAATTTTCTCGAAAGGATTCAATTATTTTTAAAAATTAATTGAAATTCTTCACAAGAATTTAATTATTTTTTATAGGTAATAAAATTCTTCATAGGAATTCAATTATTTTCAATTCAATTTTAAATTAAAATTCATCGAAATAATATTCAATTGTTTTTCAAAATTTTAATTAAGTTTTTCAAAAGAATTCAATTATTTTGTAAAAATTTTCATAAAATTCTACGCAAGAAAAAAACCAAAGAATTATTTATAGAAATTTTTACTTCTCAAGATTCGGTTTAGAAAACGATCACTACGAAGCGCATTAACCCATCTTTGTAACAATTATTTTTCAAATTTTCAATCGACATTATTAAAAGAAACTACATTATTTTCAAAAAATTTGACGAAATTCTTCAAGAGAATTTATTTTTTTTCGAAAACTCTAATAATATTCTTGAAAAGAATTCGAATATTTTCATAAATTAAAATAAAATTCTTCGCAGGAATTCAATTATTTTCAATAATTTTAATAAAATTTCTCGAAATAATTGAATTATTTTTAAAAATGTTAATAAAATTCTCCGAAAGGAGACAATTATTATTTTCAAAACTTTTGATAAAATTATTAATAAAGAATTTTTATTTCTTAATTTTTAAATTAAGAGAAAATTTATAGAAATAAACAATAGGAAAATGAGTGCATCAGAATTATTAAATTGACTAGAATACATAATCTTAAAAAAAGAGAAAAAAAAATTGGACCGCGAGCACGCACTAAAAATACTATCACTTGACGCTGGAAAGCAAAATCGATCTCCGAAAAAATCTCTATCAATTTAATCTAACAAAAATTTCTTTTTTTCTTTCTCGGAGATGAAACTGCCAACCATTAATTATATATCTAACAATAAAGACTATAATACATTTTTTAATATTACATACATCCCAATTAATTTATTATTAGGGTATTATGAATAATTATACCTAATTATTGCAACAACAGGGAGCAAAAGGAACATTTTTCTTTTTTTTTTTGGGAAATTGCTTTTCCTGTACAAAAAGAAAAGAATTCAAGTTATTGGAGAAACAATTTCCCATTACGGATGTGCCATTTTTTAATATTTTTCAATATTAAATTAAAAAATGGCATTACAAAAATAATTATTGCAAAATACATAGTATAGATTATGTAGGCGAAAAAAGTCTATTAAATATCTAAAAATTGAAAGCTGTTTTTTTCGCGATTATAATTTGTGCAAGCCATGGAAACAAAGAACAGATTCTTTTTTTTCTCGTAACTTTATTGCATATAGGTCGAAGAGTATTTTTTCAGACTTTCTTGTTGTTGTTGTTGTTGTTGTTATTGATTAAAATAAAAAACGCACTATTAATATAAAAAATTAGGCTTCTGTAAATTTTTTTTGAATTCTTTCTAAACGAAACAATCAATTTCTCCGGCATATTTTTTTTTCTTTAATATTTATATATGTACAATTATATTATTTAAAAAAGAGAAGCAATTCTGGAAATAGTCTCAAAAAACGAGCAATCTTTGGCTTCATTTAACAATTATTATTATTTGTTTTTTTTCTTTTTTTGTTGTGGAGAAAATTGTAAATGGATCAGTACGGAAACAACGCTTTTGCGAAAGCGAGTCAAATTCTACGAAATCTAATCATCAAAAAACTGTTTAACAAGGGATAAACAGACTTGTCATTAATTTGGCTTTCGGCAGTCGCGGCAATTTCTAATTTAAACTACAGAAAACAAACATTGTTCTATTTCTATTGTGAAAACTGGCGAAAAATTCTAATTCCACTTCGGCTCTAATTTACAAATTAAAAAGAAAATCGATTTTACAATTATTTTTATAATTCACATTAATATCAACAATATCCAAAATAAATCTGTGGATAATTTCAATATTAACGAAACTATTACGATACTATTATCAAGAATTCAATCAATAATTATTAATTAATTAATAGATAACTTGCTGGTATTTTTAACAAATTATTCTTTAATTAATAACTATTATTAAGATTCAATTATTAATAATTATTATTAATTCTTAATTATTAATTAAATATAAAATATATAATTAATTAATACAGGACAATAGAAGATCAATATCACTGATCGAATCTTTTACAATATTTGACGAATAACTAATTATAGAAACAAAATTAAAAATAATGGAGCGACGCAAAATAAATCTGCTTTCTGAAAGTTTTACAACAATCGTAAATAACAATATCACTTTAATTTCATTAAATTAACCATTATTTCGATGACTGACATAAATAAGGACTGATTGTCATATTATTTTCAATAATATATAATAATAATAATAATAATAATAATAATAATAATAATAATAATAATAATAATAATATAATTATAATATAATTATAATATAATTATAATATTAATATTAATAATAATAATAATAATAATAATAATAATAATAATAATAATAATAATAATAATAATAAAAGTAAAAATAATAAAAAAATTCTCAATAAATTCTAATCGTAACTGAGCAACGTGACAAATTCGCTGTTTATATGTTTAACGAATAAAATAAAATTTCTTTTTAGAAATCTATAAAAGAAAAAATTAAAAACATATTTTAAAATATTTTCTGAAATTTCTCGAGTTTCTCGTTGATAGTTTTGAAGCAAAAAAATATATATTTTACAAAGAAAACAATAGATTTCTCTTTACACATCTAAATTCGACCATCAAATGAATAAAACTATTTTTTTAATATTTAATAAATATTTTAAAAATATTTTTTAAAAAATTCGAAAACACTATAAAAAAGAAATTCCAATTTTTGGTTTTTTTCTCATAGAAAAAAAATTGAAATTATATCTTTTTTATATATATAATTTTTTTTATATACACACACATCCATTGATGAATCATAGAAAATATATATATACAAATTGGCCTAATTATTTGAAAATTTATATTTGTTTAAAAAATCAATTTTTTGTGAATAATTTTTTTTTCATTATCACGTAAAGCTTTCATTTAACAGAGTACAAGTCTAATTTTTTTCCTTATTTTTGTTAAAATTTTGTTAAAATATTTCAAGAATTTTAATGGAAATTATTCTAATTTAGAATTTTTTTTAGATAAAATAACAGAAATAAAAAATAGTTTTATTCGTCTTTTCTTTAGAATCTGTCAGGGACTGTCTTATAATTTTTTGTTTTGCTTGAAAGCACGTTAATTTATATAAGTCTTTTTTGTGCGCAATGCATTTTTTTTAATTTTGGACGTTGTATATCGCAATTAAAATACAACATTTGAAGCACAATTTTCCTGTTCTTTTTTTAGACTCGAAAACCCTGGGATATGTTTACAATATTAACTTTCGGATCAAATATAAAGACAATTTAAGAAGAAAATAATTTATTTAACTATTTTCTTTTTAAACTTGTTTAAATTTATTTTTTATTTATTTTTAAATTACGTTTATTACGTTACGTAAATTTTCAAATTTAATTGCGATATAAAAATATCGTAAAGATATTTAAAGAAAGTTAGACAAAAATTAAAACATTAAATGATTAATTGCTTGAAATTAATCTGATTAAAATTTTTAATCTTATTGTTGAGAACCGATTGAAATACCTATAATTAATTTGCAGGATCAATTAGATAATTATCTTTAGGAAAAAAAAAAATTACGGTATTCAACTTTAATTTTATAAATTAAACGTAAAAAATACGTTTTTTTCTCTTTTTCTTTTTTTTCCAAAAATTAAATTTGGAAATTAAATTGTGTTCGCCGGTGAATTATATTCGATCCGTAAGTTGACGCTGAGCATCGTTAAGTTTTGACTACGATTTTCGATATGAATGACAATTTAAATTAATTTTAAAAAAAATTCGACGAAAATAAATATTCAAGTGGAATTGAGATTTTGCTGCTGGGAATGATAAACAAATAAAGCTATCGGAAATGTCTTGATGTGGGTTTGCCACTGAGCTGAGAGTTTGAAGAACTTGACACCGTACCAGTCAGTTCCATCGATGCTCACTAATTTTTAATTAACAAATTTATTATAATTTATTATTCGTAAAATTAATTTTTATTCATTATAAAATAAAATGTTTACCTTTAAGTGGAACATGAGTTTTGGCGGAGCAAATAAGTCGCGTTACACCGTCAACACTTTGGCTCTTTGGCTCATTTTCCTTCTCCTTCTCCTTTTTCTTGCCTAATCTCATAACTGAAAATATGATTCAAAAAATGAGTATTAAAATTATTTCCGTATATTATGAAAAAAAAAAAAAATTCCCCAACTTCATGCATTTTTTATCATTGAGAACGGTAACCTCCCCTTAATTAATATTAATATGCGAACTTGACATTTTTCTATTTCCAAATAAGTAATAAAATTTCCAATTTAAATTTTTGAATGAATTGAGATTCAAAATTTAAAAAAATTCACTTAAGGTCATCCGGGAAAAAATAGTGGTTTCGTAGAATACAGTTATTTGAAAAAGAAAAGAATATTTCGGGTTTGAATTTTTTGGAAATAATAGAGGAAATATTAGTAATTAAAATAAAATTGAAAGTAATACAAAATTTGACAGAAACGTACTTTTTTGCTTTTTCTCCTTTATCGTGTAACTCATTGACAAATTATTGCCAGGAGATTCTCCCAATGCAGGTAATCGTTGAACGTGGAGGGCACGAAACGCCTGTCTTAGAGTATTTTTACCCTTCTCGCCAAGTGACAGTTTCCCCCAGTAATCCAATTGCATTTCCACTGGTTCCCAACCCTCTCTTGGCTGGCCCACATTGGGACTGCTCGGCGGTGTTAATCGACTAGGCGGTGGAACTTGTGCCCCAGGAGTCGGTAACGAAGGCGGCGATCCTGACATTGTCGTTCCGCCTTCCTCGAGATCCACCGACGTCGACGAACTGCTGTCCGGACAACCAACTCTCACGTCATTCACAAACGGAATGAATATTTGACTACTGTCATCCGTTTCTCTGTTAAAACAATAAAAAAATATTTCATTTTGAATTCCTATTTTCAATTTAAATTTCTAATTTTTCATTTTTAATTTTAATTTCTATTTTTGATTCAAAGTGCAGCCATTTGTTGTACCTGTAAGCCACCATCGCTTCGGCGATTGGCAATAAGAGAGTTAAACCAGCGGATGAAATATATTCGGCGACTCTGGTGGAAACTTCGCTGTTTCCTCCGCCATCCCTGTCAATCATTTCTTTCCAATCGTCGCCAAAAAGCGATGCGTATTTACTGTCGATAGATGCTAAATATTTCGCTAAACTGTTATAACCCAATGGCACGACTAAAAATCGTAAATAATTTTGCCAATCTGGTGGTTTGTAACTCAATAGATCGACATAGTGTTTCAAAACTGTGTTAACAAACGAATCGCCACCAGCAATTACTATTTTTATCGGTCCTGGCGGTTTTGCTGAACTGTTACAACTGAAACAAAGAGAAAATTGTTTTTCCTTTTTAAGGGGGTATTCTGGTATAGAGGCCTCAATTTTAGAACGTTTTTCCGAGTAGGATAAAAAAGAAAATCAGGGTTGACACAAAATTTAAATTTTGTTTTTCCCTGACTTTTCCCTGATTTCCTCATGTTTTATAATAAATTTAAGATGCCAGAGTGATAAAATCATTATTTCTTATCATAAGATTATTGTAACTATAAATTCAAATTTTTAAAGATTTTAATTTTAACCCTTTTCAAAATTCAATTATTTCTAAAAATTCACGCTATAATGCTTTTAATATTCAATTATAATTTAAAATTTTAAGTGAAATTCATTTTTTAATCAATTTTTATTAGAAAATTTCCCAAGAATTCAACTATTTAAATACAAAAATAAATATTTTATTCAATAATTGCATGTTTCTTAAAATTTAATTTTTATGAAGAATTTTATCAAAATTTTTAATAACAATTGAATTCTTTCGAAAAATTAAAAAAAATATTGTAAAAATAAATGCAACTTTCTATTATTTTATTTAAAATTGAATAAAAAATAATTGAAATTCTGCGATAAATTTTTTTATTTATGAAAATAATTGAATTCTTGTAACGAATTTTATTAAAATTTTTTTTAAAGAATTGAATTCCTGTGGAGAATTTTATTTGTGAAAATAATTGAATTCTCAAGAAAAATTTTATTATTTATGAAAATAATTGATTTCTATCGAATAATTTTATTCAAATTTTTTTAAATAATTGAATTTTTCAGAATTTTTTGAAACTTTTTAAAAATAATTTTAATTAAATTTCATTTAAAAATTTGAAAACAATTGAAATCTGACAAAGAATTAAAAAAAATTGTTTTTTTAATAAAATAATTGAATTCCTGTGAAAATGTTTATTTTTGAAAAAAAAGAATTCTTGGGAAGAATTTTATTAAAATTTCTTAAATTATTAAATTGCTTCGTAGAATTTCTATTTTTTACGAAAATAATTGAATTGTTTCGAAAATTTTTACAAAGATTTTTGCCAATAATAATTGTATTCCTAGGAAAAATGTTGTATTTTACGAAAATAATTGTATTCGCTATGACCAATTTTATTATAATTTTTCAAATTTATAAAGCATTTTTTATCAAAATTTTTTTAAATAATTGAATTGGTGAGAAGAAATTGAATTGGTTAGTAATTGAATTCCTGTTAAATTTTTATTAAAATTTTGTTTAAATAATAGAATTCTTTTGGAAAATTTTATTAAATTAGTAGATATTAAAAAAACCGCTGCCAAGTTGTACATTTTTATAATTTTGGTGTTCATTTCATGAACACTTTGCTTCCTCATAGAAATAATAATAATTGAAATATAAGAATTACTTTTTATAAAAGGGTTAAAAATCATTAAATCTTGGTCTAAAAAATGTGTTTTTATATATTCTATAAGATGGTAATAATAGTTTAATAATTACACATAAATTAATAAACAAGAATGTTGAAAAAATGATATTTTCCACAATTCTTGATTTTTCAAATACCAATAATTTCATAATTTCTGCCCGAATCAGGTTAAAAAATAGGTCAAACGAAGCGTTTTTTAATGCTCTTCAAGTTGGTAATAATTTTTTGAAGTTACTTTTACATAATTTAAAAAATTTTTTATAAAAGTCTTATTTTTCAAAATTTTAGAGTTTTAAAAGTTTAATATCTCCGGTTAATATGGACGCAAAATGTTCAATTAGGGCTCAAAAGATGCGTCTGAAAAAACTCTACGAAACTAAATACAAAACAAAACTAAACTTCTACATTTTTCAACAACATTTTCAAAAAAGTCTTATTTTCTAAAATTTTTGATTTTTTAGAGTTTAATATTTCCGGTTAATATGAACGAAAAATATTCAATTAGGGCTCAAAAGATGCGTGTGAAAAAACTCTAAAAAACTAAAGAAAAACATTTATAAGTGTCCTGACATTTTTTTAAGTTATGTCCAAAAAACGTTTTTTTACAAAATGAAAAATGCAAAAAAAAAATAGTTTAACTTCATGAATCGGGCTGAAAATACTCTCATTTTATGTCCCCCGTGGAGACCTACAATTTAAGAAAAAATTTGGGCTTTTTGCTCTTTCTTGTTCTGAGATATTGAGGCAGATGTAATGTTAGCACACACACACACACACACACACACACACATCGGGACAAATTTTTAAAATCCGTTTTTTGGACTTCGGAGTTCAAAATACGTCGAAATTTTTTTTTATTTATTTAGAACATTTATACGGGGAGTTCCTGTGCATATATAAAGTACTAAAGTATTAGGCATAATAAAAAAAAATTTATAAATATGTCAAAAAATGACAATCCAATAAAATTTTGCTAATACAAAGCTTCCTTTATGAGGAAGCAATAATTGAAATTTTACCAAGAATTTTATTTAAATTTTTCAAAATAATTGAATTTCGGAGAAGAATTTTATATTATTTATAAAGATAATTGAAATTTTGACGAGGATTTTAAAATATTTTTCAACATAATTGAATTTATGCGAAGAAGTTCATCACTTTTGAAAATAAGTGAATTTCTGTAATCAATTCTTAAAATTTCTATTTAAATTCAAACAAAAAAAAACAAAAATTCAGAATTTTCTTATAAATTCTAAAAATTCAATTTTTTTTTAGTACTTTTAATAGAAATCCCTGGCTTTTCCCTGACTTCCCTGACCAATTCTAATTTCCCTGAGTTTTTCCTAAATTCCCTGACTCCCTGACTTATGGCAACCCTGAAAATTTAACATTTTTAGTATTTACTTTTTTGCAAGTTGTTTATTAATGTTTAAAGAATACAGAAAAAAATTAGGAAAAAAAATCAAAAATTGTTCTCAAAAATCTAAGTTCTTTAAAATTTCAAATTAAATTAATTAAAAATTGAAATTTTCTGAAATTTCTAATTGAAACCTTTTGAAGTTTATCTATTTATGATAATTATAAACGCAACTCTTTTAAAATGAAATTAATTTTGAAATATTTAAATAAAATTATTCATTAAATGATTTCTAAGTAATTATTATTATTATTATTAATTAACTATAATAATCGTCGTATTCTGTCCATTCTGTCCAGTCTGTCCACACTTGAAGTTAGACTATTGTGCATGCTTTTGTTTTTTTGATATATTCTGATAGATAATATTATACGTCATTATTTTTTCACTAATTTTTTAATTTAATAATATTACTAGCCACACTATCCGCGCGCAAGCGCGCGGGAATGTTGTATGGAACTGCTTATTTTAAACAATTTAAAAAATTTTAAAGAAATAATTATTATTATTACCTAACAAAGAGATTTAACTAACCAAAATTCAAATAATTTCACTCAATGGTCTCAATTTAAATAGAATTTACATTACTAGACTTAAACTATGGATAGAACAATTCCAATTAGTATCTGGGTCATCTTTTGCATTGCTTATTTTATAAACCCATTTTAATTTAAATACTTTTTTAAGAAATAATAATTATTACACACTGAAATAGCGATAAGTTTCTCTAGAATAACGAAAGTATTAATTGAAGCACTGAAAAATTTCGCTACTAAAGTGAAATCTCAGGGTTGCCACGCAACCTGGAAACCTGGAAAACCTGGAAATGTCAGGGAATTTTTATAAACCTTGAAAAAACCTGGAAAAGTCAGGGAATTTTCATTGGAATCCTGGAAAATTATTGTTTTCTAAAGTTATTGTGCTTATTCTTGAAATATAATTTTTCCTTAATTCAATTTTCTTAATTCAATTTTAAAAGAGTTGCCTTTACAATATTTCTTCGCAATAATTCAATTATTTTCATAAATAATCAAAAAATTTATAGATTTACAATTATTTTCATAAATAATAAAACTCATCGCAAAATTTCAATTATTTTTAATACAATTTTAATGGAATTTCTCGAAAAATGTATAATTATTCTTAAAAATTTTATTCAAATTCATCAAAGAAATTCAATTATTTTCAAAAGTAATAAAATTCTTCGCAGAAATTCAATTATGGTCAAAAGTTTAAAAAAATTTATCGTCAAAATTTCAATTATCTTTATAAATATTAAAATTTTTCTCCAAAATTCAATTATTTTCACAAATTTTAATGAAATTCTTTTTCTGTATCCCTTTGCCGAAAGTACTGTCTTCCCGGTCTGATTTGGCTCCGGGAATAGCGACTTTTGTGGCCGGCTCGACAGACCCAACGAGCGCTCTGATTGGTTACAAGAATTTCAACACACGTACATGTTAGCATAGCAACCACACAGACACGTTACATACAGAGCTCACGTTTTGAAAACAACTGACAGTCATCAAAATAATGCATGAAATTTATTATTTTCTTTTATTATTTTTTAATTATTAAATATTTATTTGTAAAAGAAAATTTCTTGTTTACTATTTTTTAAATTTTACTTACAATTATTTTTTACTTATAATTTTTTTTTCATGCCCGCCCCGACCAGCTAAGTCTCGGCTTCGCCTCGACTTTGCAAAAGTCGGGCGGGCAACTTATTGAGCTATTTTATTATTCAAACAATAATTATTTAACGTACTTTAGGCTGGGGATACAGAAAAATTGTATACGACACACGGCCAGAAATTTGGATACCCTAGCGAGCGTGATACACGGAAAGAAAAGGTCTGGAAGAGATATCCATAAAAATATTGTTGAGCAGAATATTGTTGTGTTATCCAATTCAATGGAAGAGACAACTTTCAGAATGGAAGCACATTCCATATTCAATGGATGAAGGAGCCATATTATATTGTTGAATCAAATATGGATGTGACATCCATAGGCATGGTTGGGCTTACAATTCATGCTATGGATTTTCACATATGGCTGTCTCATCCATATAAACTTTGGTTGGGAGATCCATAGTTAGTTCAAAATTTCGATACATGTTGCGCGCAATTCATTATCATGGCATCCATTTAAAAATGGTCGTCTCAATTTGTCCGT